TGTGGATTTTTCAAACAACAGCAGAATGTATTTTGCGACTTAATGAGCGACCTAAACATTCCTTTTCAATCTTTAGTTAAATTTCATTATTATGATTCAGTCTCACTTAAATTTTACTTTTCCCCCTTTCTTTTAATTTCAGGCATTGTTTAAAAAAATGAAAAAATAGTGAAGGTGTTTATCTTTTTTATTTTGATTATTATTACTTACTTTTGTGTTATTACTATTATTATTGTTATTGTTACTGTCATTAATATTATGATGATTTTCACTATTAGTATTACTGCCATTGCTATTATCATTTTCTCTACTTTTGCCATCCATTGTACTATAGAGATTAGCACACAAAGTTATCAAACATTAAATAAAAAAAGGAAAGTTAAACATGCGTCCCCTCGTTTAACAAAAGATTGTGCTGCCAAACTACTAGGGGCGAATTTCATTGTGAAAGTGAACAGTTTTAAGCATACCGGTAACTGCTCGAAATACGGAGCATTTTTTGCCCATGTAACGATGGAATTGAGACTTTCTTCGATAACTGACTTGCAGTACTGAAAAGCATCCCGACTTTTGTCACCTTTGCTCAACAAATGCGACAACAAATTCGGATCGAGCAACGATTCTGTACAGCTGCACAGAAGCGCAGACTGTTTTGGGGTATAAAAAACACTGTCGATGCTTTTCTCGGTAGGCAGCGGACAGATGGGTAACAGCGGTGAGGACCGATCGGTTGAAGTACCAGGCTGCGGAATTGGCAACGGTTGCGGGGCCGAAGTTATTGCTGCTGCGGCGATTGGAGCCATTGCTGCCATGGCGGTATAGGAGGAGGTTGGCGGACAAAACGGGGAATAATCGCTAGGTAATGGCGGTGCTTGCGAGAAACCTGAAATTTATATTTTTCATTTGAAAAAGCTTCTAAATGCCACAAAATGAAAGCTTAAAAATAAAATTATCATGGTCATGCGCTGTTATCTAAGACTCTTGATTTTACTGAACTGCGTGAAAAAGCGCTAGATTGCCCTATATCGCGTTATTCCTTCCTCTTGCTACCCATCGCACCTATTATGTATGCATTTTCTCATCAAAAGTTGCGCAAGCACTCGTTTTCCCCGCATTTTTTGTTTTTTGGAAACTGCCTTATTATGCTTTTCCCTTTAATGATACGGCACGTTATCGTTTCTAAGAAACGCTAGGGCTAGTTAGTGCAAATATATGTCAGCCTGTCTTGTCTGACTGCGCAGTTCTACTCAGTAGCTACAAAAGTAAAGAAACCGAAGTTGTGTGTACAAAATCCACAATCGTATGGGAGATTTAATTCTTGAAATACGCATATAAATTTTGATTTAAAATGTATACGCTTAAATCAAAAATTTAAAATATGCGACTTTAAATAAAAATCTTTGAAGTGACCGGCACGTAACCTCGAAACTAACAAACATTCAGGAGTTTTTATTTATCAGCCTTTGAATTCAAGCTCAACTTCAAATAAATTTTTAACACAAAATAAAAAGAGTAAGAAACTTAAGATTTTGTGACAATGTTACCAGGCACTTTAAGATAGCAAAGTCTTACATCTTTTCTCTCCTGTGTACCCTAACAATTGTCACGAATTTCTAAATTTTTGCTAATTTTAGTCAAGAAATAAAAAGAGTTGAAAGCTCAAAATCTCAATGCATTTTAAAAGATTCTTTTCCGCAGTATGTAGCTTCCACGTTGAACTATTTGAACAGACGTGCGTAGCAACAGTGTTTATAAAAATATGAAAAATTGGTGTATTTGAAAAATTAGAAAAAGTTTAATTCACTGGACCGGACATTTTGCTTTACTGTTAGTGCATGGACGCTGGGCGACCGCGACTGGCACCCTCAGAAAAGGAATGGAGCACGCAAACTGAGCTGGCCTAGCTGCACAGCCGTTTGGGTAAGTGTTCTTGAGAGAGGTTGTTGGGGCCGTCATAGATAGAAACGGGCTGCATTTCAGTATCATTAGCCGTTGTCACTGATACCGAATTGCCAACCGTTGCACAAAATGAAAACTATTTTAATACTATATGCTCATAGTATATCAGCAGTCAACTGGCAATCACATTTTCTCATCTCTTTGGCCATCGCTGATAGGGATGCAGTCCCAAGTGGGCACTTATTGTGGTAAATAATCTTTACCTGTATAACATATGCTAAATTATAGCTTAGCTGTTAAAGCATCACTAAACAAGTGCGCCAAAATGAGCACTGTCTTCCCTTTGTCCTTAGTTTACCACTCATTTCTCAGAAGGTGTGTGTGTGTGTTTGAAATTATATTTTACGTTACCCCTTACTAATACCATAACCATCCTACTAACTGGATACATTTCCATGAACGTGTGCAACCTGGATAGACTGCCACATTTCTGTTCATATAGTTTTTATGCGTTTTTGCATAAATGCAAATGCGAAAACGCATATTGCCACGACCCCGGTGTGTGCGTGTGTGTGTGTCTGTCCGGATATTTCAACTCGGCACCCAAGCAAGCTCCGGCGCCAAAATTTTGCCGATAGGTTCCCCGACTAAGTGCCACCCCAGGACTGCAGTGCCAACCCCCACGCAAGTCTGGGCCCCACGTACGAGCGGGCGAAATTTTTGGCGGGAAAATCGCTAACTCGGAAACCAGAAAAGCTAGGCGGCTGAAATTTTGAGGTTATGTCCCCCGTCTACACTGAACTCAAAGATTTCAAATTCAGCACCCAGGTGCGCGTGGTTATCGCGAATGGCTCCGTGAAGAT